AATTCACTTCAGAGAACGCCCAAGGATCAAATTTTACAAGATGACAGGTTTCCCAATAACATCTCTGACGAGTTCTCTTAGGCCAGGCCATCTCTGGGTATCTCATTCTGGAGGATTGTAAGGCTCGAAGAGAATCAAGGAATCCATTTGCTGACTCCAAGCAGACTCTCACTGAAGCCAGCCCAGTTAGAGATATAGATACAAGCATACAATTTCTAGGGCCCTACACTTCCACTCAGATGATGCTAATGGTCAGTTCATTCAGCAATCCCAAAGCATTTTCTGGAGTCTATACTGATACCTTAAAAATGATACAAAGACTTGGAATTTCCCTTTAAAACCTATTAAGCGTTGGCCAAAACATTTTATTTGGTATCAGAGAAAAGTTTGGCGCGCCAGGGACCAAAAACAATGTGGCTACAGCACCGAGCCCTGGGCTGCAGATGTCCTTTCTTGCTCTAAGGCAAATACCATGGAGTGTTCTAGCTGGTCGGCTCTGCCAGAGCTGACGATAGCCATCCCAGGGGCATTTGAGGGCAGTCCTCTAGACCTTGGGCACAGGTCTTCAAACTTCTTCACCCAAGAACTATAGATATTTCTTTACTCCAGGCTGTAAGCAAAGCACAGGGAAGGTCCCAAAGCCCAAATTGGCCCTGAAATCACCCCACCTCCAATGAGATAATTCTGCTGCTGTTTGGTTTGGGAAAAAGGATGCCATTCAGTGTTCCGGAAAAGGACTTTGGTGAAGAGTTCACAGCCTAAAATCCTGCCCTCTTTCCAACTTCTTACCCTCTTGAAATAGCATGTGTGGACATGTATCTTTTGGTTTTTGAGATCAGACTGCCAGTGGCCTGCACGAGAGTGGGGCGGGCCTGTCTCTCTAATCATTTCTGCCAGCCTAGGGCGTGTCAGTGTTGAATGGAGAAGCCAGCAAGCTGAGGAGGAGAGCCTGCAGAAGTCAGTCTCGGGGTGGGGGGCGGGGCAGGCCACAGCTGGAGAGCTGGTGGGCCTGGCCCCTTTGCCCCCCAACAAGCAACCTTCCAACCTAACACTCATGGCGTCTTCCCTGTTTGCCTTCTACAATCAATTTCTCGTCCTCAGTAACTTTCCCTCCTCCCCTTCTTTACCTGCCTTTCATTTTCCCTCTTATTTCTAATAAGCAAACAAAACAAACAGAACAGTTGGGACCAGGATTTTTTTTTTTTTTTTTTTTTTAACTGAGAGGGACCTTAAGGATATCTCTTCTAACCTCGTAAATGTCTGGGGTGAGAAATCTGGTACTCTGAGAGATTTGGGGACCGGGCCAACGTCACCTGGGAAACCAAAAGCAAAGCCCAACAGGCTCTCCATGCCACTGCATGCTCCCACCCAAGCTCCCGGGCGTCCTCTGTGGTCTGGGCATACCTGACTCCCTTCTGCTTCTCAGTGGAGTCTTACACAGCCTCAGGATGTCAGCACTCCCATTGGCGATGATTTCTTATAGTATTTAGCACCAAAAATATTTGCACTAGTATGTTCCACAAAGTAAGCATCGCTAGAGAAGAATGGTGAGGTTCAACCTGAAGCCAGGAGGGCCAAGCCTCCTTAGCCACCAGTGGGAAGCCTCTCTCCGGGGACGATCTGGGCATGGTCTGCTGAGGGGAGGGACACAGTCTCTCGTCTGTTAAGAAGAGAAGGTTGAGTGAGTCTTAAGACCCACTCGGGAGCCAAGGATACGATAAGAGGGCAGCATCTGGTTCACATCCAAAGTCAAGAACAGGGAAGACCCTTGGCCATGCCTCCCTACTCCAAGTGACCTCTACAAGCAGGCCACTGTCACTCGGTCCAGGAGGGGATCAGGTGAAGGTGACATGGCCAGGAGGTCAGCCTGGGTGAGCTGGAGTTCCCAGCAGAAGTCACAGCAGGGTCCGCATCCAGCCACACCCTGAGAGCTGCTCTAGCGTGTTTTGTTAAATGGTGAATTTTGACAGGGAGGGGCAAGAGCAGGGTGGACTGGGGTGGCCACACTGGCTGGTGGGATGTCATTTTAAGACTCATTTAACCACAGGAAGCTCTTTGAAAATAAACAGATAAGCAGACCTGGGCCAGCACTTTCTGGGTGGGCAAAGAGACTGGGGGGGGGGGGGGGGGAACGAGACCAGATGTGCCCTGTGGGCCGAGAGTCACCTCAGACATTTCGCACTGTGACGGAGTCACCAAGAAGGAGAGGAGTGTCCCATGGGACCTGTGCGTGTGCAGGTCCACGAGCCCCCAGGGGCAGCGGCCCCGAGGAAGATCCCCCTGGCCTTCCAGGGCACTACCCAGGACCACACAGCACAGTGAGCCCCCGCTGGGAGAATCGAACCATGTCAGACCCTGCAGGGCCCAGAGGTGAACAGAACCTCTCGTTTCACAGACAGGAGACAGAGACACTGGAGAGGGAGCCCCAGCCGCGGCACATCCCCCCCACAGGAGGAATAACATCCTTGGCTTGCCCCCAGGGAGTGCCCACAGCATCTACTCTCTGCTTCCCTCACCCTCCGAAAACCTTTTCACTTTTTGTACCCGCCTTGTCGACGCGTCAACTGTGCGCAGATAGCACAACCCAGGGAGAAAGAAGGCCGGTGCTCCCTCTCCACTCCTCCTTGCTTGGCCATGATCATTCTGGAGAGGCAGACGCTTACGGTGGACACGACGAAGATGCGTCACCATGGGCAGCACGAGGGCCTGTGCAGTCTGACTTTGGTCTCCTTCGAGGCTCCTTAGTCCCAAAGGAACTAGCTTCCCCCTTAGGCCGGGCTGCCTTAGCACCCTGTTGGAAGCCTGGCCTTCCTATTCCCAGCTGCCCCCTGACTTCTAACCCTTTACCCACCTATCAGTGATGAGAGTTCTAGAGACACCGTGAGATGAAGCCACACGGGGCCTGTGTTGGGGAGAATCTGCTTTGGCAGCAACTGGAGCCCTTGAAGCCTCACAGCTACCAGAAGACCCTTCCCCCTCAAAGCCCTCCCTCCATGAGCAGCTTTGGCTCAGGGACCCCACTCAGCATGAGACTCCATACGTAGCTCATCCTGTAATAACAGCCCCGGAAGAGACTCAGAGCCTCCAGGCAGAAAGACAGAGGGATGACGGCCACAGGACAGCAAAGGCTTCCTCTGACGTGGTTGATCCACTGGGCTCTTCTCAAAAGTCCTCAGGGCTGGGAGGCCGGCATGGGGCCAAACCCATGCCAAGCTCTGGATCCCCTCCCAGCCCAGCCGAGCGGCCTCCCTGATCCCCTACCCCCAACCGAGGCCGGTAGTCCCAACACAGCTCTTTTCTATTTGAATAAAAACATTTGTGGGTCTTTAAAAAAAAAAAAAAAAAAAAGGGGGAAGCAAAACCACAAACACAGGATTTAGTCCTGAAGCCCACAGGGATGTCTGTGCTGCCTCTGACCAGGCCAGTCAGGCCACCCACAGCCCCTCACACTGGCAGGGCCGGCCACAGGCCAGTCCGATAGGTAGCTCTGTGCTTGGGGTGAGGGGCTGGGGCCAGTGAGCTGAGATGGGCCTGTCCTCCCTCCAGCAGGAGGGCTCTGGGGGCCAAGGCCACTGCCTTCCAATGGCATTTCCTGATTGTGTGTCCAGGAGGCCCAGGGATCTGCCCGTTACAGCTCTCGCCAGCAGCGGCCAGGACCCCCGCCCAGAAGCCTCCTTCTCACTCTCCGGTCAGGGCTCCGTCCTCATTAAGATGCCAAGCCTGCGGCCCTAGCCGCGCAGGGGACACCTCCCAGAGAAGCCTCAGCCCCTCCCCCACCCCCGGCCAACAAAAGCGATTTTTCAGCCCCTGAGCGTTCGCAGCAAGCTCAAAGGCAGATGCATCAATCCTTCCAGGGGCTGGAAACGTGAGGAGAATGCCAAGGGCCCGGTGCAGGTGCCATCTCCACTGCCGGCTCCGGCCCAGTCCACGGCCTTGCTCTCGGGAACAAGCACTGCCCCACGCTCTTGCTAGTCCTGGCTTTCTTCCCTGGCAGCGAGGTGGCCCTGGGACGTGCGAGAAGCCCAGGAAGTAGGGCTGGAGATGGAGGGCAGGCATGATGAGACACAAACGCCACAGAGGGGCACATGTTACAATGACCTACAAGGAACCAAGTCTCCTGCTGCTGGAACCCTGCTGTGTCCGCACTCATGGGCAGCATGGGGCGCGTTCCCTATGCCCCGAAACTCCCCCAAAAGCCCTCATGTGGGAGGCGGGACCGAGGAGTCTTCCAGTGAGGAAAAGATGGGAGGCAGTGACAGGGAGGGTTCTTCTGTGGTTAAGTCCAGAACGTCCAGTTCTTGAAGTTCAGAGAACAGATGATACGTCTCTTTCCAATGGAGGAAGGAACTTGAGCATGGTGTACACTCAAGACGGAGGTGGTCCATGGTCACCATTGATTGGGGGCTCATTGGTTGTCCAGTGTTTAGTGGTAGATGCCCTCATTGACTTCCAAAAGCATCAGGACTCTACTTTCTAGAATGGACAAATTGGAGAATTGTCTTGAAGCAGAGGAAAGGGGGAAGGTGTGGAGCCACAGTCAGGGGAGATGGGAGGCATTCCAGAGGCCCCTGGGGCGGTGTTACTTCCTGCTATATCCCAAGGGCTACAGTCACGGTCAACCCACGCACCTGTGCGGATCTCAGGGGCGGGGGCGGGGTAGACCACCTGCGTGGGTCATCACCTGCACAGCGGTGATCCATCCCCGCTCCTCTGGTCCCAGCGCAGCAAAGGCCATCTCTGCGTCATCGGGGCCTCCGGCCCCAAACAGTTGGAGCCACAGAACCAAGGGCCCCAGCTTCCATCAAAGGGGACTTCCATTCGTGTTCGTAAGATTTTTCTGAGTTGTTGTTACAGTCTTATGGTTTCTGTATCAGCAGTTTATCTCTGTATAAGAGAAGGTATCTCTCTGTGGATATAGATAGATAGATAGATATATAAATATATATATATATATATGTATATATATATTCGCCAAACTGCCTTACAGATTTTTCTTTCACTTTTTTTTTTTTTTCAGTGTTGTATGTGTAGCAGGCACTTGAGTTTATATGAAGATGTTCGCTTCGGTCAGGATGGAAGAAAGGAGTGTGAGGCGGACGAGGGGCGATGTGAGGCCAGGAGAGGGAGGCCACAGAGTACGCATCCGTGACCACCAGCTGCCGCTAGCCAAGGATGTCCAGGTAGATGGGGGCGGCCTTCCCCAAAGCATGGAGGACTTTGTAGATCTCCTTGATGTTCAGCCGCTGCTGGGGCTCCCTCTGCCAGCACCCCAGCATGACGTCATACACCTCTTTGGGGCAGACCCGGGGCCGCTCCAGCACACGACCTTGGGTGATGCACTCGATGACCTGAAAAAAATAAGGACAGGCAGGACATTAACATCCAAAGCTCTCCTGGACCCTGGGGCTTCCACGCAGCAGCAGGTGGGGACTGCATGAAGGAGTTTCAGTGCAGACCCGGAGTGCCCACCTGCACAGTGGAAGGCTGACTGCAGACAGCACCGAGTCTGCCATCCGCCCTGGGCAGGCTGCTGGCTGGCCGCGCTCACCATTGCCCTTCATGCCCCACCTCTTGGGCCAGGCCTTCACAGACTCCCCCATGCACTCTACCCTGTACTTGACTCCTCTCTAGTCCTGAATCTCATCTGGGTGCCACACGCCAGTGGGGACTGGCACCTGAACTGTCCCTCCCCTCTCATGAGCCTGGGTGACTGTGAGGCCCCCTTGAAGGCACTCTGCACCACCCAGCCCCTCCTTGCCTTCCTCCCCTTAGCTCCCACCCCCTGGCTGGCTCCCTTCCCACTCTCAGCCTCTGTGCATAGCATCAGGCTTCCCTCGAGGCCACCATGCAGTTCCCTTTCTCGGCGAGGCCCTGCGTCCCCTGCTCTTTGCACTAACCCCCGTATTTGGCTTCTGTTAAAGTCCTTCCCATCAGAACTACTGCTCGATTCACCACCGTCCAGTTCAGTGGTCAGCACAGGTCAGTGAAACTGACAGGGCCTCAGCATGCTCGTCTGAAAGATGGGGAGTCAGTGTGTGCCTCGACTACCTCCTGCGTAAATGTAAGGCCCAAATCCGGCCAAGAGCATGAAGCGTGGCCTGACGTTCCACAGGGGAGGCCCTAAGGAGGAGTAAGAAGGAAACAACATATGGCGGGACCAATCCCAGCGGAAGGACCCGGCCCGTAACCCACACTTCATTTCCAGGTTCTCAAAGGCACTTCTTTGCTGACATTGAACTCGTGACTTTTCAAGTTTTCATCTTCCTCATCGGGGATAGGTTTTTCATGTCTCCCTAACCCGATCACTGTGAAACCTTGAGCAACTTACTCCAAACTCCAGCGTCCTCATTGGAGATGGGTTGGAATGATAAAACGTGAGGACTCGTGTCAAGTCAAGGTCCTCCGGTGTCCTTGCCCCTATCCGTCTGTGTTTAGTTGGGCAAGGGAAGTGTCTTTTGTCTCCTTTATCTCCCCATGCTGCCCCCAATAGCGACCCATCTGGGGCATTGTCATGTCACCCTGACCCCAGGACAGGCTGTCAAGCCCCCAAGTGTCAGCACTTTCCTGGTCCTATTCACCCTGGGGTCAGTGCTGGCCCATGAGGCTCGTTTTCATGCCAGCCTGATCGGTCTCTAGCCACTCAGATTCTCCATTCCTATTAGAGCCCTGTTTCCACCCTCCATTACCTTCACCTCCGGGAAAAGGGACCCAGTTCAGACTGCAGCAGCTGCTAATGCTACGATCGAAAGTACTCACTAGCGCCTCCTCTGGTGGGGGGCTCTCTGGCTTGTCAACCTCCATAAGGAAACCCAGGATCAGGAGCTCACAGTACTTGGCTGCTCCTGGCCTCAGAGTGGGACAGACAGGTGGCTGGGGTCAGAAAGCCCACGTCCAGGCCAAAGCCTCACCAAACTGTGCTAGAAATGATCTGAAACACCTTGTTGGCTGCTATGAGCCGGCTTGGATCTCCAGGGCAGATCTCTTACGGATCAATAGTACCATCTTTAATGGGGCCACCAAACCACGTGGAGGCTGTGTGTACTTGTGTGCACGCATGTTTGTGCAGGAGTGTGTATGTGTGCATGTACTCAGGTACATGTGTGCTTGTGTGCTTGTGTGTGTGTGTATGTGTGTGTTTACTACCAATCCCACACCCCAGGAAAACAGCAACAATTCTTTCGAGAAATTCTTTCGAAACACGGCAACAAGTGGGCTCTGATACATACTCTTCTTTTTTTTTTTTTTTTTAAGGTCGTTAAAATGTTTTGTCCCATTTTGGGAAATGTGGTTAAGACTCATTCAGCTTGTGATGGACCGGATACTACAGATTTTAAAGAAATATCTTCTTTTCAGTCTCTGAAACTCACCAGTTAGGAAAGCAAAGAGGAATACATCCCTCAAAAACAAAGACACTTTCTTGAGTATTCAGATAAGATTGCAATATTAAAAGGCCCTTGTGTTCATGTTTTCATAGAAAACAGAAGACCATAAAAATAATTGCAATCTCTTAGAGGTCTGCTTGGTTGAGAATCTGAGCCTATTACTGTCTATTAACTATACTGAATTCTCCAGGGCAACACGAGTCTGGTCCGGACATAAATGAGAACCATCCTGACTGGCTTTGGAGGCAGGAGTCCTGTGACCATGGCCCATGCCTTCTCCGTGCCACAGAAGCTCCCATCTGAGTCTCTGGCCAGTCCTCTCCAGTCTCCCTAGCTGTTTCCTTGCCTTTGCCCTGAATCTCAACAGGTATTTGTGTGGAAAGTGCTGAGTTAATACAGCCAAAGTGCTTAGAACAGTACGTGGCACTAAATGTTAGCTATTGTGAAAATTTGATTACTGATATTATTATTATTATTATAAATCAAAATTATAAAAGCACATAATGTGCTTATTATTATGATGTTTACCATGATGAGACCCTTTATTCCTGGAAGCCCACACATATCAATAACGGGAAAATTTGCCTTCCTCATCCACCCCTGTCTGCCCAATCCAGGCCTGGCAGGCCTCAAACCTTTGGGAATCCAGATTCTTTGGGTGTTTCCATAGATGGCACAATTGAAAAACTCAGAGTTGTTCTTTGTTTTTGTTTTCTGTCTTAGGGAGACATTTGTGATTTTTGAGTGTTGCAGGACAAACAGGACCGTGACTCACATCTCAATTTAGACGTCTGATTTCATGCTTTCTTGACAATTACACCACACTTCCTACAACTCTGATGTTTTTCGTCCTAAGAAGCTCTCCCCTCTTGCTTATGGCTACATTTGCCCACGAGGTCCAAACACCACCTCATGTTCTGCAGGCTGTGTCTAAATCCTGAGATCACTCCTATCTGCCTTCCCTCAGACGGAGGATCCCAGCTACGCCCATTCTGTACCTCTGTGTTCGAGAGCTGGAACCATGGCTGCTTTCCATAGGTGAAGATCTCCCAAAGGATCACCCCGAAGCTCCACACATCACTCTCCGTAGTGAACTTCCGGTACATGATGCTTTCAGGGGGCATCCAGCGGATGGGAAGCATGGTGTGTCCTCCCACCTAGAAGGGGTCAAGACAGAGGCACACGCAGAGTGACCCGTTAGCCAGAATCAGTCATTGCCTGTCTGCACTGTTCGTAAGTAGACGTGCCCTCGATGCCTCTTAGTCTAAGATAGCCATGACCTGAACTTGATGTAACGGGGGTCAGAGGCTCCGTGAAGGTACTGACAGCCAAGGTCTACAATACTGGGGGTTAGCTAGAGTAGCAATTAGAGATACTCCCTAAGGAAGGTAGGTTCCTTGGCATGGAGCTTAGAGAAAGATTGCAAGATGATTTGGGGTGGGAGAGGTTTTAGAATCTGGTACTATAGGGAACCTAACCTCGAAAAGAGGCCCACAGGGAGGTCAGCAGAATCCCTGAGGGAGGTCATTGAGTACCTGAGTATTTGCAGACATCGGGTTGAACTCCTTGGCCAGGGTGATTAAAGCACAGAATTATCCAAGGGCATCCAATCTGTAGAACTGTGACCTGACCTTCTATCTGACGATCCTGAATTTCTCACTGTACCTTATGTCTCAGTGTTTCAAGTGAAGGGGACAGGGAAGTTCCAAATGTATGGAAGACCACATGCTCATAGGAAATCAGTGAAAAAGGCCTGTGAGAAAGGTCTCTTTTAAAATGGCGTAAGGTTGGGGCACCTGGGGGCTCAGCGGGCTAAGCCTCTGCCTTCAGCTCAGGTCATGATCTCAGGGTCCTGGGATGGAGTCCCGAATTGGGCTCTCTGCTCAGCGGGGAGCCTGCTTCCTCCTCTCTCTCTGCCTGCCTCTCTGCCTGCTTGTGATCTCTCTGTCAAATAAATAAATTAATTCTTTTAAAAATTTTTTTAAAAATGTAATGGCCTAAGGAGATCTGTCTGGGGGTCTACAGATCTGACAGTCAAGGACAAGAGGAAGTGACTGACATTCAGGATACCCTTTCCTGAGGAAACATTAGGGAAATCCTCAGGGCCCCCAGCAGGCTAGAGGTATTAGCATAAGTGGAAGAAAATTCACAGCATGTTTTAAAACTCAGGAACTCACTGCATCGTTAGTAAACAGAATATCAGAAATGGGAACTTTTGGCTCGCCCATAGAATTTGTTGTCAGAAAAGTGCTTGCCATTGATAAAAAGAGCTCTCTATAAATTTCCTGATGAACTATTAATTATAAGTTCTCTATGGCGGGTCCGTTGGAGGGACAAGGATAATGAATACCTAAGAAAGAATGACTTATTGGAAAATGGCCAATCTTATTTCTAAGAAGGAAAATGACATTTGCTTTATCCACTTAAAATATTTTAGGAGATAAATGATGATAAGGATTTGCAGAAGCTGTCTTCAACCTGGGATTTTAAAATCAAGACAGCTCTGTGTCATGTGCCAAAGACAAAGGAAGGGGTTTCTTTCAGACAGGCAAAGACTCAGAAAGCTTAGCACTTCTAGTTCTTCAGAAAACAAAGGAGCAGAAATTGAGGATTGCTCCAGAAAAACAGAAAAAAAAAAAAATCTAAAATAGACAATAACTGGGAACATAACAAATAATGTAGAGCATATAAGTCACAAAAACGCAATTTAAATCTAAGTAGTGTTCGCTAATTTGGTAGTAAAATGTAATACAATCACTAATAAAGTCTTCCTGTAAAATAGAGACGTAAAGTAAATAATAATCCCAATAATGCTAAGAGTACTACGACTGTTACTGTTAACTCTACTGCTCTGGAATGAAACCTTCAGGTAATTTCAGCCATCAGTACATAGAAGAACAGGAAGAGGAATCTTTAGAAGCCTGACGAAGGCTTTGCCTTTTAGGGAGGGAAAGCGAGTTTACAGACAGTCATCAATTGTTGATTACAAGAGTTTCAATTTTTAAATTTGCTTGCTAAAAGTTTCAAGTGCCTCCTAAAAGAACAGAAATAGTACATATAGCTTCCAAACCAGTTTTTAGAAAAGAGGACCAAAAATCTCTAACCAATACAAAAAAAAAGACAAAAAAGAGGGACTGGCTAATGATGTTGAAGGCACACTATGAAAAAGAAGCTTAAATAATATCTTTGCCTATCATTTATATATTTTATACAAAGATAATAATAATATCTTTGTAATCATTTGTATGTAATACAGACACTATATCCAAATGGGTTATATTGTCTCTTAAATAAGAGAAAATTTATGTTAAAAAAATAAAGATGTGTGTTATTTAGAAAAGACATGCACAGAAGAAAAGAGCAGAAAATATTAAGAATGAAAGGATGCAAAAAGACAATAAAAAGGAAAAAATGAACAGATATTAAACACGTATATTTGATATACACAATATATGATTTAAATGTATAATATTGAATATATAAAATGCCGCCTATTAACATGTGGAAAAAAATTTAGAATGCCAAGAATTAAAAGGAGAAAACGTAATTTACATCATATTTCAAGATGGCAAAATCCAGCATTACAGTAATTATGAATTATCAGGCTCCAATAACATGGCAACAAAAATGCAAAGAGTAAAAATAGGCTATAAACCAAAGGAAACTGACAAAACTACCATTATAAGTGGAAAATCAAAACACTTCTTTCACAAATGGACAGATCAAGAAGACAAGATAATTGAAGAGACATTTTAAAAATACAGATAATCGGTTTTAATTGATAGCTATGAGCATTGTGATTCTGTATCTTTCAGCCTCCCTGAAGAGTTGAAAATTATTTTCCATTATCTGAAACAATTTATAAAACCAATCACATATTATACCTTCAAGGAAAGCTGAAATACCAAGAGGAAGACCACAGTAAACATAAAATAAAAATGGGAAACATTTTTTGTGCCAAATAGAAGTTCACAACAAAAGAATATTTTTTTAAACTTTCTCTTTGAGCAATTAAAAAACTATTTGATAAAGGAATAATTGAAAATTAAATATAAAACTATTTATTATGATAATTAAATTGGTATTCATTGAAGCCTATGAAATATAGTTAATTTTTAAATTATAACCTGTAAGCACTTATTTTTAAAATAGTTAATAAATTAAAATGTGATTCAACAACAAAGGTAGTAAAGACCTATATGATAATAGAAAGAAAGAAGAAATAAATAACAAAGATAAAATGAAGAATTAGTATAAAAGAAAGCAAAGCAAAACATCCAGCTGAAAGGGAAAAAATTTTAAAAGGAGACTATGTGTACACAATTAATTGGTAGTTCTTTAAAAGTAATATAACCCTTTGGCAAGGTCAGTAAAAGACATAGAGGAGACAAATGTAAAATGTTAAAAATACAACAAAAAATTTGGAAATAAAGGTGTCATAATTGATTTACTAGAAAAAATTAATGAAAAAAGAGAGAAGTAGAAAATTCAAACATGAAAAACAATTACAATTATAGTAAAAATTCTATGCATTAAAAAAGTACAAGATCCAAATGATTTTTTGGGCAAGTTCTGCTAAAATTTTTTATCCTATTTATACTTTTCCAAAGCAAAAAATAAAAAATAAAAAAGTTAGAAACTTTCTGAATTGACTTTCTGTGATTTGAATATTTCTGATGATAAGATCAGTCAAACATAGCATATAGCCTTAAATACATGAAAACAGCCATAGATATTTTATCTATACATGTGTAAAATTATGTTATGAATATAGCCTCCAAATATGAATAAAATATTATATACTGAACCAGCAAGGTATTACAAGAACTCCATATCATAACTCAACAAGATTTATAACAGAAATGCAAGAATGCCTCAGCCCTAAGAAATCTAGTGTTTAATTCACTAAATTAAGAGATAAAAGAAGAAAATCCATCCTTTCAAAAGATGCCAAAAATTTCCAACACATTTTCCTGACTAAATGCCTGAATTCATTAGCAAAGGTAACTTCCTTTATTTAACACACTGACAATTAAATGTGCTAATAAAACTTTAGAAGCACAGAAAAGTATATTCTTTCACTGATTTTACACAATACTGTTGATATGGTCCTAGCCAATGCAATAAAGCAAAAATAAAAACAAGGTAGAAAACTGAAAAGGAAGAGTCAAAAACCGCTGCATACATATGATTAAGACTTATTCAAAGTATTAACTAAAAAGCAATTAGAATCATTACACGATTAAGCCACCCAGATATAAAATGAACCTACAAAAATCAGACTATCCTCATACACCAGTCATAACAAATTCAATGCAAAATAAGATCGTATAATAGCAACAAAAAATTATAATTCCTAGGCATAAACCTTAGCCGAAAACAAACAAGGTCTAGTTAAAGAAAAGTATTGAAAAACATAAAAGATTTTAATATATGGAAAAATATGTCATTTCCTTGAATAGGAAGACTCAGTATCCTAAATCTCTCATTCCTCCCTCAAATTAGTCTGCAAATTCAACACAAGCTAAATGAAAACCCCAATGGAATGATGTATGGAAATTGACAGGATGGTACCAAAGTTTGTCTGGAGGAATAAATACTTGATAAAAATGAAGATCTATTTGAAATAGAACCACAGGGGAGATTTACTCTATCAGATTGCAAAACATATCATAAAACTACAGGAATGAGCACACTGTGTTACTGGCATAGATATAGACAAATTTTACTGATCAATGGAACAAAATAGAGTCCAGAGGCAGACCCATGTATAATATCAGAATTTAATATATGAAATGATGGGTTAGTAATCAAAGTGTTGGGACAATGAACTATTCATTTGAAAAGTACACTTAGATACCTACCTCACACCATATACAAAAATCATTTCCAGATGGATTAAAGAGCTAAACATAAAAACAAAACAATAATAATATTAGAAGAAAACTTAGAATAGTATCTCTATAACTCAGGAGAAGGAGGTCTTCCTAAATAAGACTCACGTTCAAGAAGCCATAAAGGATAGTATTTTAGCGATACAACTTGCAAAAACCAAACACTTGTTGCATGGCAAAATACAAAATAAGTACAGTTAAAAGACAAATGACAGAGGAAATATTTGCAATATATGTAACCAAGAATTAAAATCCATATATCA